CCATATCTCCCCTCATGGACACCCCTCATCTCCCTCCATATCTCCCCTCATGGACACCCCTCATCTCCCCATGATCTCCCCTCATGGACACCCCTCATCTCCCCATGATCTCCCCTCATGGACACCCCTCATCTCCCCCCATATCTTCCCTCATGGACACCTCTCATCTCCCCTGATCTACCATCATGACAACCCCGCATCTCCCCCCGTATCGCCCCCCAGCATGGACAGCCCCCTCATATCTCCTGATCCCCCCTCATGTACACCCCTCATCATCTCCCCATGATCCTCACCTCATGGACAACCGCCTCATCGCCCCAAATGATCTCCCCCTCATGGACCCCCTCATCGCCCCCCGAGCTTCCCTCATGACACCCCCCTCTCATCTTCCCCCCCCCATAGATCCTCCCTCATTGCAACCCCTCATCTCCCCCATGTCTCCCCTCATGACACCCCTCAATCTATCCCCTCCATATCTCCCCCCCTCATGACACCCCTCATCTCCCATGATCTCCCCGCATGACAAAAAACCCCTCATCTCCCCTCCATAGCTCCCCCATGACACCCCTCATCTCCCCATGATCTCCCCTCCCCTCATGGACACCCCTCATCTCCCCCCATGTCTTCCCTCATGGACACCCCTCATCTCCCTCCATATCTCCCCTCATGGACACCCCTCATCTCCCTCCATATCTCCCCTCATGGACACCCCTCATCTCCCCCCATGTCTTCCCTCATGGACACCCCTCATCTCCCCCCACGATCTCCCCTCATGGCTGCCCCTCACATCCCATGGCCGCCCTTCATCTGCCCTGATGGTCACTGACCCCTCACCCCTCATGGCCACTGCCCATCTCCCCCCATAATCTCCCCCCACAGCCACCCCTCATCTCACTCCATGATCTCTTTCCCCTCATGGCTGCCCCTCATGATCTCCCCTCAGGGCTGCTCCTCACATCCCATGGCAGCCCCTCATCTTCCATAATCCCCCCTCACATCCCATGGTCGCCCCTCATCACGATCTCCCCGCAGGTCAGCTCTTCATCCCTCATGGACACCCCTCATCTCCCCCTATGATCTCCCCTCACGGCTGCCCCTCACATCCCATGGCCGCCCCTCCTCTTCCTCCATGATCTCCCCTCACATCCCATGGCCACCCTTCATCTGCCCTGATGGTCGCTGACCCCTCATCCCTCATGGCCACTGCTCATCTCCCCTCATGATCTGCCCTCCGGTCAGCTCTTCATCCCTCATGGACACCCCTCATCTCCCCCATGATCTCCCCTCAAGGCTGCCCCTCACGCCCCATGGACAACCCTCATCTTCCTCCATGATGTCCCCTCATCTCCCTCATGATCCCCCCTCATGGACACCGCTCATCTCCCTCCTGATCCTGCCTCATGGACACCTCTGATCTCCCCCAAGATCTCCCCTCATGGACACCTCTGATCTCCCCCAAGATCTCCCCTCATGGACACCTCTGATCTCCCCCAAGATCTCCCCTCATGAACACCTCTGATCTCCCCCAAGATCTCCCCTCATGGACACCCCTCATCTCCCCATGATCTCCCCTTATGGACACCCCTCATCTCCCTCTGATCTCCCCCAAGATCTCCCCTCATGGACACCCCTCCTCTCCTCGCCATGATCTCCCCTCATGGCTGCCCCTCACACCCCATGGCCGCCCCTCATCTCCTCTGATGGTCACTGAGCCCTCATCCCTCATGGACACCCCTCACTCCCCCATGATGTCCCCTCACAGACACTCCTCCTGTACCCCCACGCTCTCCCCTCACGGCTGCCCCCCACGCCCCATGGACAACCCTCATCTTCCTCCATGATGTCCCCTCATTTCCTTCATGATCCCCCCTCATGGACACCGCTCATCTCCCTCCTGATCCCCCCTCATGGACACCTCCTCTCCCCCCCACGATCTCCCCTCATGGACACCCCTCATCTCCCCGCCATGATCTCCCCTCACGGCTGCCCCTCACACCCCACGGCCGCCCCTCATCTCTGATGGTCACTGAGCCCTCATCCCTCATGGACACTCCCCCATGATGTCCCCTCACAGACACTTCTCCTGTCCCCCACGCTCTCCCCTCACGGCTGCCCCTCACACACACACACACACACACACACACACACACACACACACACACACGCACACACACGCACACACACGCACACACACGCACACACACGCACACACACGCACACACACGCACACACGCACACACACGCACACACGCACACACGCACACACGCACACACGCACACACATGCACACATGCACACATGCACACATGCACACACACACGCCCCATTCCCGCCTCCCTCCCCGTCCCTCTCCCTCCCCGTGACGTCCCTGACGTGCCCCCCCCATCCCGCCCCCCGCCATTCCCGCCCCCGGCGCTGCCGGGAACGGCGCGTGCCCTGCCAGCCCCCCCTCCCGCGCCCTGGCTACGTGCAGTTCCCCACGAGGCGCCGCGCGCGCCCCCCGGCTGAGGGAACAGCGCGCGCGGCACGTTCGCGCCCCCGCCCGCCCGCGGGTGGGTGGGTGGGTGGGGGAGGGAGGGAGGGAGGCGGGCCGGGACCCACCAATGGCGAGAGGCGGTGCCTCAACGCCGGCCAATAGCGGCTCGCCCTGGGGGCAAAGTCCCGCCCCCTCGGGCGCCCATGGCGGCGCTACGGGGAGAGCGGCGCCAGTGGCGGGAGGGGATTCGCGCCGGCGGTCGGAGGCGGTAGCGCGGTCGGTCCACGAGCCGCCTCATCTCCCTCAGCCCACTCAATCCATCAGCCCTCAGCCACCTCAGTCCATCAGCCCTGAGCCCACTCAGCCCCCTGAGCCCACTCAGCCCCCTCAGTTCATCAGCCCTCAGCCCACTCAATCCATCAGCCCTGAGCCCCCCGAGCCCACTCAGCTCCCTCAATCCATCAGCCATGAGCTCCCTCAGCCCACTCAACTCCCTCAATCCATCAGCCCTGAGCCCCCTGAGCCCACTCAACCCCCTCAATCCATCATCCATGAGTTCCCTCAGCCCCCTCAACCCCCTCAATCCATCAGCCCTGAGCCCCCTCGGCTCACTCAGCCGCCTCAGTCCATCAGCCATGAGCCCCCTCAGCCTACTCAGTCCCCTCAATTCATTAACCCTGAGCCCCCTCAGCCCCCTCAATCCATCAGCCCTGAGCCCCCTCAGCCTCCCCAATCCCACTCAGCCCCTCAATCCATCAGCCCTGAGCCCCCAAGCTCACTTAGCTCCCTCAATCCATCAGCTGTGAGCCCCTCAGCCCCCTCAATCCATCAGCTGTGAGCCCCCTCAGCCCCCTCAATCCATCAGCTGTGAGCCCCCTCAGCCCCCTCAATCCATCAGCTGTGAGCCCCCTCAGCCCCCCCAATCCCACTCAGCCCCTCAATCCATCAGCCCTGAGCCCACTGAACCCCCTCAATCCATCAGCCCTGAGCCCCCTCAGCCCCCCCCGAGCCCACTCGGCCCTCTCAGTCCTTCACCTCCTCACCACCTCAGCGCCCTCAGCCCACTCAGTCCCCTCAGCCCCCTCTGCCCTCTCAGTCTTTCATCTTTAGGCCCCTCAGCCCCTCAGTCCCTCAGCCCTTCATCTCCTCACCCCTTCAGCCCCCCTCAGCCTCTCAGCCTCTCAGCCCCCTCAGTGCCCTCAGCCCCCTCAACCCTCTCAGTCCTTCATCTCCTCATCCTTTCAGTCCCCTCAGCCCTTCATCTCCTCACCCCTCAGCCCCCTCAGTACCCTCAACCCCTCAGACTTTCAGCCCCTCAGCCCCCTCTGCCCTCTCAGTCCTTCATCCTTAGGCCCCTCAGCCCCTCAGCCCCTCAACCCTTCATCTCCTCACCCCCTCAGCCCCCTCAGCCCTCTCAGCCCTTCATCTCCTCAGCCCTCTCAGCCCTTCATCTCCTCAGCCCCTCAGCCCTTCATCTCCTTAGCCCCTCAGCCCTTCACCACCCTCAGCCCCCTCAGCCCCGGTGAACGGGGGTTAAACGGCGACAGCGCAACCTCTGCTCGGCCCGAGGGGACCACAGCCAGTTTTGTTAAAAGGGAAAAGCTGGGTTAAAGTTCGAGGAAAACGATCCTGTGCTTTTAATTCTGTTTTCAGCGCCAGAAGCGAAGTTACGAGTCAAACGTGTTGTATCTCCCGGGTATCCAGCCCGGGAGCGCAGCAGCGTTCACAGCCCCTTTCCAGAGGCATTTCCTCACCCCGTGTTTTACAAAATCGTGGAGTCTCCTCACGTAAGAGTGAATAAATAATTGCACCCATCAGCTGAGTGTCCTAAATCATGGAACCACGGGCTGCTTTGGGCGGGAAGGGACCCTAAAGCTCTTCCAGTTCTGACCCCGACACCTCCCACTATCCCAGGGAATCCAACTCGGCCTTGGACACTCCCAGAGATCCAGGGGCAGCCACAGCTTCTCTGGGAATTCCAACCCCGCCCCTCCCCACCCTCCCAGCCAGGAATCCCTTCCCAATCTCCCATCTCTCCCTGCCCTCTGGAAGTGGGAAGCCATTCCCTGTGTCCTGTCCCTCCAGCCCTTGTCCCCAGTCCCTCTCCAGCTCTCCTGGAGCCCCTTTAGGCTCTGGAAAGGACTTCCAAACTCTCCCTGGAGCTTTCTCTTCTCCAGGTCTCCTCATGGATCCGGTATGGAAAAGGAGTTTAAAATTCATCCCATTTCACCCCCTGCCATGGGCAGGGACACCTCCTACTATCCCAGGTTGGTCCAACCTTTCCTTGGACACTTCCAGGGATCCCGGGGCAGCCACAGCTTCCCTGCGAATTCCAGCCCAGTCCCCTCTCCCAGGGGAGAGTTTTTTCCCAGTATCCCATCTACACCTTGAAAAATTCTTCCACGGCCACGGAAAAATCCCCTTAGGGTTTTATTTGACCTCTCTGCTTTCCCAGCTTTCCCGATTCTCACCGCACTAATTCCACCTTTGGCGCACAATAAAGAGTTTGGGCTTGATGTCAGATGAAATACCTTTTTATACCAATAAATGTGAGGTGATTGACACGTTGGTGAGCCTGATCCCCAAAGGAGAAGGTCCAGGGGCTGGATTTGGAGCTGGAAGCCCCGACAAGGAGCGCGCTTGCCTTCGAAACCTTCCTCGAGATCGTTTCCCGCGGGGTCCAAAGGGTTTCTTCTGGGAACAGTTCACTTTTAACCCCCTTTAACAGCGCCGATATCCTTCTAATCCATCAATTCCTTCAGGAATGCCTTTTGGAATCCTTACTTCTCCTGCTCTCCACCACATCCCGCCCCCGTGGCTTTACCGGTTTCTACTTTTTTCCCCGACGGTTGCCAACTTCTGATTTGACTTTGGGAGCCTCGATACTTTTCCCCAAGATCTGTTTCTTGCTGCCAGTAAATCCCGTGTGCCTTCCTTGTCTCCTCGTCGCGAGACATTCCCTGATTTCTCTTCGGGATAATTTTACCCCGTGCCCTCACTCCTCACTCCCCGGAAGGATTTTGTAAGGACTTGTCGAACTCCGGATCTCCCGCTCCGGATCCGTGAGGGATTCCATCTGTTCCCCCTCCCGCCTCGGGGGGAATGGACGTGGAATTTTATTCCTACCCTCTCTTTCTCAGCGTTTTAAACCAATTATCTGCCACGGGGGTTTCCCCTTCCCATCCCACAAAACCTCGATCTCTCGGAACCGCACGGGGAACCTCGGCGAAAGATCCCAAATAAAAAAAAAAAACGTTCAGCGGCGCTTTTACGACTTTATAACTAAGATATTCTTCCTTCCGCTGATTTTTATTTCACTCTCTGCAGCATTCCCAATATTCCCCCGCGTCCAAAGCCCAGCAACGCCTCCCAGTTTTTTTAAATCGATTGTGCAACGTTTGAAACCGGAGGGGGGGAAAAACCCGCGAGGAAAAGAAAAAAATCCCATATATTAAAAAAAAAAAACACATATCCACAGGATGATCATTCCTTAATTTCAATCCCCTGTTAAATATTAACTTGAGCCCAACAAGGCTCAGCCATAACTCTGAGCTGGTTTTACCCTGCCCGGCGTTTCCCTTTGGCCTCCCGTGCCTCGACCTCGGGAGATTATTAATTTCGGGATCCACGGGAGCTCAGGATAAACCGCTTAAGTGCCATTTCGGATCTATTCATATCACTCATTCTGTTTTGACAGGAGATGAAGCCAAGCCAAGCCACACGACTCCGAAGTAACCAAAGTGAACCGGATTTTTCACTGGATTTTCCTGTTGGAAAGGACTCCAGAGCGGGAAAATCCAGGCCTCTGCCAAGTTCCTAATCCTCGAGTCTTCGGGATGCGATGCCGTTAAAACCCTCGGCTCGCGGGGTCCAGATGTTTGAGGCGGAAATGCGGGGAGGAGAAAATTAAGCAGATTTTTATCCGCTGCGAGGTCGAAGGAAAGAGTGAAAATTCCCAAAAAAAAGCACCTTCTGGGATTTGGGATGCTGCCTGTTGTGTTTTCCAAGCACCCAACCGACCCGTTGTTGCTCATTCCCAAATCCAGCATCCCCTGGGCTGGGAATATCAGGAGAGGAGCTAAACCCCCTCCCAGCCTACAAAATGAAGACATATATTTTCCTTAAATCCCGGTTTTAGCAAAAAAACCACCCGGATTTGGGAAGAGTTTCCCCTCGTTTTCCCTGGTTTTGCCAATCCCGCGTTGGCGAATTCACCAACACCAAGGCCTGGCCACGTCCCCACGACTGAGCTCTCTTATCCCAAGGAGCAGAGCGACTTTA